CCTATGTCATACACTTACAGTAATTCAGAGATCTCTGTGCTATCCACCCTTTAATATAATTTTTTTTTCTTCCAGATCCATATCACAAACAGCTCCTAACCTATATCTGAATATAAACTTTTATACATACACATTTGTTTCCACAGTTATTAAAAATTACTGTTACCAAGGGAATTCTGGCCTCGGGCTAGTCTGCAGGAGTAGAAGAGCCCTTGAAACTGGTCACAGGTAAACCATGAGTGAAAGTATTCTTTAACACTCATTCTGTCACAGGTAAATCATGGGTAAAAGTATTTTATAGTACTAATTCTGTCAGGTATATATAGTAATTTAATTTTCTCCTCCCCATTCAAACTTTCCCATTTGTTTCATATTTGTTTCATATTTGCTCAGTGCTAAAGCATCCAGTTTTCCCTCAGTCATAACACTGAATACTATTTTTTTGACACCAGTACTATACAGAAATTTTTTTTTTTTTTTTTTTTTTTTTTTAGAAAATGCATATAGAAAAAAAAATCTCAATCTTTTGTTCCTGGAGTATCATCTGCATTCATGAAATGTGTTGCTTATTGGAAAAAATTCTAATACAATTCCCCAATGAAATTAAAAGTAAAATGCTGAAATGAGAGCTATTATGGAAAACACATGAAGTTAAAGATAGGTGGATACAGAATGCAAAATGATTCTTGCAAGATTTATTTGTTATCTTATGAGTTACATTAACCCTTTCATGGTCTGTGCCGTTGTAAAGCCCGGATCTGTGCTATTGTTCTACGGGTGTACAGCCAGGGTCTGTTGTTGTTCTGTGGGTGCAAAGCCAGGGTCTGTGTCGTTGTTCTATGGGTGCAAAGCCAGGGTCTGTGCCATTGTTATATGGGTGTAAAGCCAGGGTCTGTGCCGTAGTACTATGTGATGAGCTCAGCTCACGTAGATAAGCTGTGAGTGGTAAATTTAGGACTAGATATGAGAGAATGAGTCTATGTGGTAAGTGTGCACCATATAAAAAAAATCTTGCAGCATGCAGTGCATCACGAGAAAAAAAACTGTGACCATGTTTTTGGTTTAAAACAGCAACTTTGTGGTGTATTTTTGTATGGTTTTTATGGTTGTATTCACTGTTTCTTGATAGAATGGAAGATATTTTACAGGAATAGAGATGATTTTGATGGTTTTAGGACTGAAAATAGCTTAAAATTAAGCTCAGTGTAGTGGAAATGTTTGATATTTGCCGATGTTCAAGAGTAAACAAATCGCATCAGTGTCTAATGCGTCTAATGCATGTCAGCTGGTGGGTCTATTGTGTTCACAAATGCACTGATATTATGTATACAATTATTACAATATTGCATAACAATAAATCTTCTATTTTTTGGTGTGAATATAAATTCCATCGTGCGAATAAAAAGTAAAAATAGAATTCATGTGTAAAACCAGGACAAGTAACTAATGAACAGAGGAAATGTTATTTTAGTGCCAGCAATGTCTGCATTGTTTATTCTGGACCCTATTTTGAAATTTGTGTGAAATTGACCAGATCACCAATTTCTGATCACTTCATTTGGTTGTTGAAATAGTTGATTGGGCAGTTTCTTGTGCTCAGTTGATGATATAGAATGCATAATAGTGAAATAACTAACAGTTTGGTAGACTGGTACAATGTAATTGGCCTAAAATAGGAGTCAAATTGGGTAAAATCGCCAAAGCGTAAATATCGCAAACGCTGCAAAATTCATGACAGTGTATTTTTGTATATTTTCCATCAAATTTTATACTCTGTTATATTACCTTCAGAAAAAGATTTTTTACCATTTTCATAAGAAAAAATAACGATTTTTTTTATTTTAATTCTTGGACCCTGTGGACAAGTTTCAAATTGGAGGTCTGGACCCTGAAAAGGTTAAACAGAAAAGCTAGACCACCAATCCTCCTAGAGTGCAAAATACGTTTCACTCATACAGTACTATCTTAGGTGGTTGAGGATTATAGTACAGTATGGTCTAAGGTGGTTGCTTTCTACCAGTATACTGCCCTATATAATAATATGGGACTATTCTCTTGTGCATCACAATGCTCCTAGGCTCTGACAGGAGGTATGAATGCTACTCTCAGACCTGAGTTTGGATTGCTGCTCATACTGGATATTGAAGTACAATACAGTACAGTATACTCATCTTAATTACAATAAAAGTTTTAATGGAGTTTTCTTAATCCAGTCAATAGCCATGGAACTCCCAACTGATAAGACTACAGTTATCAATTCCACCACTGATCTCTGTCAATGCATGGCACCTATAAAAACTACCACATATAGTGAAATGTTTATGCTACAAAAATGCCCATTTGGATGCTAAAGGTTTTAATTCACTTTCCAACCTGCACCTAAGAAATCTAACAGACAGAATCATTTATTTCTGTGTATGGTCTCTATGCCATACTGGGCTATTGTTCACTCAGATAAGAAAGTTCAGCATCTCTGGATATTACAGTCTGGGCCAATTTGAAAATGTGATAAAGTCATGTCTAGCCACTTGGACATTGGAACTGGAGGTACCTTTCCTTTCCATGGATCAAACGTAATTGTCTCCTGTTCCCCATGTGTTGTATCAGCCTTATGGTTGAGCACTTCCCCATGACTATAATGATACCCACCATTAGTCCCATTTCTCCTAACGCTCCACATATACCAAGCTATTGTATCCAACAAACTGGACCACTTAACACCAACAATAATAAGGTAAGCTAAAGCTGTATTATATGATGGTACTACTCCAAGTAGTATGCCATGACTATCCAGGATAAAATGAGCTGTGCATCTCCTTTGTGGGATATGTATATCAAACTTTTAGGACAATTTCATACAGTATCTTTATAAGGAAACCATGACCCTAACTGGTCTCCCCAAGTGGCTGTGAATCATTTAAACATTGACTAGTAATGGAGAGATTCACGGCCTATGGGCATCCATCCTGGTACAGCCTGGATTGTGAGAAACGCTAGGATAAAGTGGAGTACTATCATACAAGCGAGGTGAAGCATGTTGTGACTCACTTCATGTATTACAACACTTCTTTGTAGAGTTTTACTTTAAAAGTGCTTTAACAGTAATTTTTATTATGGAAGACATTAGGCAGTGAAACCTGTGTACCACTATGTAGTGTACAGGTTTCTTGAACTTTTTCAATTGTTTTTAATAGATTCTGCTGTACAATACCAGTATCCATAAATAATATCAACATTTGTTAAAAATGTTAAATTTCCACCCAAAAACTTAATTCAACTCACGGATGAGTCTACCTGGAGTTTACCTGGAGAGGGTTTTGAGGGTCAACACCCCCGTGGCTCAGTCTGAGACCAGGCCTCATGTTTGAGACCAGGCCTCATGTTTGAGACCAGGCCTCATGTTTGAGACCAGGCCTCATGTTTGAGACCAGGCCTCATGTTTGAGACCAGGCCTCATGTCTGAAACCAGGCCTATAGGTAAAATGTTTTGCCTTTTTTGTCTATAAATACACCCTGCAACTTACGGTTTAGAATATATGGGTAATACTGAACTGTTTAATGCTGCAAGCCTTGTCATGAGCATTGCAATTTATTAGCATGAAGCTATTTTTTATACACAATACTGTACAGTATTACAGTTTTTTTTTAAACTGACAGTGTAATGGCAAGTGTGTCATTTAATTTATTAAAGGCTCACTCACTCACTATGGGAGACAGGAAGAAAATATAGTTTCCTCCATTATTGCTTTCCATATTTTTTCATTTCATTCTTTAGTTAAAACTGCATGTCTGATATATTACTAATATTTTATTATATACTATATATATGTTGGAAAATTTTATTTGTAGAACACATTTTATATAAAAAAAGACTAATGCAAGCTATCCATGGGGTTTAGATTTGTTTTATATTGAGATTACTAAATTTATGAGAGAGTGCTGAATCTATAAAGATCATTAGGTGCCTGAGGAATGGTATATAACCAGATTTGATCCAAGGAAGAAGAGGGGCAGCTCCAATTCCTTAGATTGAAAGCCCTTTACCAGCATCAAGGCATACCCCTTGAAGGATTATTTTTCAAAGATAGTAGACAGAATCACAAGGCAGTGTTTTACTTTCTGACAGTGCGTGTAACATTACTTGTTGACATTTTGATACCCGTCCCTCTCTCTTACCTGGTTTTCTTATCAGGCTATCACTGATCTATTATCCCTTTTCTTTTTTTACAACTTACTGCTCTGCTTTCTCCTAATTATTAAACTATTTGTATTTTGTTTAAAAATGGCTGTATTATATTTAAGTTTGTAGCTGGCATTCCATCCAACATTAGTTCTTAATGTACCTTCCTTAAGTTGTAGATATTTTGTTTATTATTCACTTCTCTCATCATCTTTCCTACTAATCTTTCCCTTGAAAGACTAAGATAATTGTCTTAAAAAGCTTCTATGAAACATCATTGCCCCTTGCATATACTTTTCTTATATCATATAGCCCTGTTTTTTTTCCTTGAACAAGTCACAAATAAAATTATTTCAGTAGTTGCTGCTGTCATGGTAGTTGTGTATCATAGTCATGCTTGCATTAAAGTGTCATAAGTACTGAGGAAAAGTGAGGAACAGCATGGACAGAAAATAGAAACATAGATACCTGCATCCTTCAGATTCAGTCAGACAGCCTTTTCAGCACAGTCTCTGATGAGGGGCCTCTGAAGCTGAAGTACTGTATACAGATCTCTACCTGTGTTTCAATTTTTTGTGCTAAGCGGTTTCTCATTTTTCATTAGTTACATAAAAATTTTATCTTTGTACAGTGCTCTTGTAACAATCCACATAAGTTTGTCTTGCCATTGTCAGTCTCACGTCTCTCTAGCTTCACTAATGGATTATTATGTACATAGGTATACAGTATAATGCATATACTATATACAGCATGAATTTTTCATTTGCTTATGCTCTTTGGCAATGTTTTGTATAATTGAGGTAAGGTTTATTTCTTGCAGGGAAATGCCTCTACCTGTCAGGACTGATCCCAGAACCACTCACATCTGAGGATGACTTCCGTTTGTTAGAGCACGGTATTGGCTTCACTAATATTGTTGCTCGGACGACAAGGGGATCAGCAGATTTAACAAGAAAAGAAATCAAAGAAGGTGCAGTGCTGGGTTAAGCATATGTCGAGTTTTAAAAGTTGTAGAAGTTATTACATGTACAGTACAGTGATGGTAAATTATCATCATTTTGTTCATGGGAAATCTTTAAAGCCCTAAGGCTTATACAATTCCTGGACCATGGGGAGGGAGGATTAATGAGGTTTGATGCAAGGAAAGTGAGGGTAGCTTCAATTCCTTGGATCAAGAGCCCTTCACCAGCATCAAAGCTTTTCTCTTAAAGGGACAGTACTGTACTGGTATAGTAGTTTTAAGGAACCCACAGTGTCAGTCATCACCAGAGCTTTATTACCATCCTTACAAATATGTATCAAGTCAGTTTTTCTTTTCTTGTTCTATTGAAAAATTAATTTTTTTTTTAAGTCATGCAATCTGTATCTAAAATGTGAGTTTATAGTTTAATGCATTAATCAAACTTTAATTTAATAATTCTGAGCTTGCCAGTCAGCCCTCCAAATTCATGGTCAACAAAATTTGTGAATTTTGAATATCCAACTTTTTTTTTTTTACTAAGAGTCACATGAATAATTCTAATTATTCTCATGTTCATTAACTGCACACATGATAAGTTATAGACTAGTTTGAAAAACAAATATTTTGCATTATATGAATTGTGTAACAAAAAAAGGAACAATTTGTATGAGAAACAAGGTACAGTACATGTAATTTACCTTCAGCCAGCGTATACATACAGTAGGGCCCCACTTTACAGCATTTTGCTTTACGACATTCCACTAATACGGACATTTCAAATTATGACCAAAACTTGCTATACGGCTCCTCTCACCTGACTTTCTAATATGGTCACCGTGCCCCACCTGACTTGTTTACATTCTCCTTGAGCTCGTAAGCACCACGTCTCTCCATTATGTCTGGAAACTCCAAAATTTCAAGAGTTTTTTAAAAGTTATTTCATATTTTATATATACTCTGATAATTATACTTGTGTATACCTGTACCTAAATGAACTTACACACTGTGCTGGTGTGCAGGTACACATTAAAATCAGTAAGAGTGTCTTATGTCTCAAGATGCCATATTAGTAATGATAATAATAATGATAATAATCACCGAGTCTCATTAAATGTCGCATATTACGTTAATATACATGTACACATTTTCATTAATCAGTCTGATATTTTTTCAAAATTATATAATAAACACTATACATAACATATAAAGATGATAAATACACCCCACAGTAGAATAAATAAACAAATATGAGATGTGGTAGCCAGACGACTTGTACGAGTGACGCCATATTAGTAATGATAATAATACTAAATTATTATTATTATTATAATAATCAAGGGGGAAGCGCTAAACCCGGAGGATTATACAGCGCCTGGGGGGGGATGTGGAAGGCATTCAGGCTTAATTCGGGGAACTGGAGCACAGATCTAATTCCCTAAATCAAGAGCCCCTCACCAACATCAAGGAACCTTCCTTGAGGGGAATAATACTAAATAATAATCACCGAGTCTCATTAAATGTCATATATTACATTAATGTACACATTTTCATTAATCCATCTATGATATTTTTTTTCAAAATTATATAATAAACACGATACATAATATATAAAGATTATAAATACACCCTACAGTAGAATAAACATAAATATGAGATGTGGTAGCCAGACAGCTTGTACAAGTGACGGCAAGAATAACGTTTTCTCTAGTCCAGCATACGAGAAAATGTGTTACTGGGGGTAACTAGAAAAATATTCCTTTTGTATGCCTTCACTCAGAGCGTCATTTCTTCTAAAAAAATGGTGTTACCTGAGAATGGGGGGTGTTCCTCTATTTATTCTACCCTATGAACATAGAGACAACTTCTACACAAACCAAACATGTTTGCTTGGTTTGTTTACAAAACTGGTGTTCGTCTGGTTTGTTTACATAACTCCGCAAGTGTCCTCTCTCATGTACTCATTCTCTCTCTCTCATTTACTCATTTTATCTCATTTACTCACCTCTGACCCTACATTAAGACTACAAATATTTTAAGGTAAGTAATGAGTGAACTGTATATGCATTTTATCACTCTGGGATGCTTAAATGTTATAGAATATTATGTGTGGGTGGGTTGGCCTGGTATGGTAGCCTGGCTGACTACCATACATACCACACTTGATTTCTTACAATAAATACCACTCATCTCACCCTAGATTAAGACTACAAATATTTTAAGGTAAGTAATGAGTGTACTATATGTGTATTTTACTTTTTTATTGTTTTTTTTAATGCCTAGTTCTATTGCTAACTTAATATATGTTAGTGTAAACTTGTTATCTAGTATTTATATGCATTTATAAGTGGAAAAAAAGGTGTTCCACTTTACGGCGGTTTCTGCTTTACGGCGGTAGCCTGGAACCTAACCTGCCATATAAGTGGGGCCCTACTGTACATATATTAACAAAGGGATAGAATGCAGCATTATAATTTCTTATAAATAAAGTATATATACTTTATACAAATGGCATGCAGTCAAGATACTGTATACAAAATTATATAAAATTAGGGCATTTTTAAGAAATGTAGAAGAACACCAGGAATATGTGAGTAGGAGGACTGCCCTGTGCTTGCCAGACACCACCTCAGGCTTCCTCATGCATGTTTTGCATACCTTTCTAGTGCCATCCTGCTCACACACATACATATCATTTACCAAACTGCGGCAGGCCAGGATTCGACCCTATGAACCTTATACTGCCTTCAGAGAAAACACTATGTACGCATCGCCTTACCACTTGAGCCTGCGATCCTACAAGAATCACGCATGCAGCTGAGCTACATGTTTTTCTCATGATCTGAGGACACTCATGGCAGTGGTATCTCGAGGATTAATTTTAGCTCAGCTGCATGTGTGATTCTTGTAGGATCACTGGCTCAAGTGGTAAGGCGATGCATACATTGTGCTGTCTCTGGGGGCGGTATATATATAATATATATATATATATAATATATATATATATATATATATATATATATATATATATATATATATATATATTATATATATATATATATATTATATATATATATATATATAATATATATATATATATATATATATATATATATATATATATATATATATATATATATATATATATATATAAACAAAATAATCATGCAGCATACTTCTTGTTATATTTTGTGGTCAACAGCTGGATATATATATAGTGGCATAAATTTATATATTATTATTGGAGTATTCAGGACACTGACAGCATGTGCTGTAGGAAGCCCTGCTTCTCGGTGTCCTGGAAGGGGTGGAAAAGGTAGAAATGGGAAAATGGTCATTAAACATAAAAGAAACAAGTTTTCCCAATTATGTCAGGTGGACCTCCCTACCTAAGCCCCACCAGAACAAGACACTCGTACCCCTTTCTGTGTTAGTAACCTACTTACTTTTTCAGCTGCATAAATATCTTCAGCAAAAAAATATAAAAAAAGGGCTGATGTATGGTGCAGCAACCATTAAAGTATCGGAGCGGGCAATAAAACATGAAAAAACTTCAAAAGAATGAAGAGGAAAAATTGCTACCAATGCTCAGCCCAGAGCAAGCCATCTGCACGCCGCAATCAAAGCCAGCACAGAAGTCTCAAAAAGAAAGGAATTTCTAAATGAATATGGTTTTTATTTTAGTGCTCACTATGCACATTAGAAGACCTTGATGGCCATTGAGCTGTTGTAGCCCTTATACAGTAGGGCCCCACTTATACGGCGGGTTAGGTTCCAGGCTATCGCTGGAAAGCAGACATCGCCGGAAAGCAGAACACCATTTTTTCCATTTATAAATGCATATAAATGCCAGACAACAAGTTTACACTAAATTATATTAAGTTAGTAATAAAACTAGGCATTAAAAACACAAAAAGTAAAATACATACACAGTACACCCATTACTTATCTTAACCCTTTCAGGGTCCGTCCCGTAGATCTACAGCTTTACGTTCAGGGTTCAAACCGTAGATCTACGCCATGAGCTCAGCTCACCCTGATAAACTGTGAGTGGTAAATTTGGGCCTAGATATGAGAGAATACATCTATGTGGTATGTGTGCACCACATAAAACAAATCCTGCAGCACAATGTGTATAATGAGAGAAAAAAAACAGACCGTGATTTTTTATTAAAACAGCGACTTTGCAGTGTTTTTTCGTATGTTTTTTATAGTTGTATTTGCGATTTCTTGGTCTCATTTGATAGAATGGATGACATATTACAGAAATAGAGATGATTTTGATTGGTTTTAGCATGGGAAATGGCTTGAAACTGAGCTCAAATTAGCAGAAATGTTAAATTTTTGCCGATGTTCAAGAGTAAACAAACGACCTCACACGTCTAATACACGCCAGCTGGTGGGTCTAATATACATTCACAAATGTGGTGATGATATTTATACAATTGTTACAATATTGCATAACAGTAAATCTTCTATTTTTTGGTGTGAATAAAAATTCATTATGTGAATAAAAAATCAAACTGGAATTTATTTGCAAAGCCTCAAAATGTAACTAATGAACAAAGGAAATGTTAGTTTAGTGCCAGGAATACCTACATTGTTTATTCTGGACCCTATTTTGAAATTGGAATATTTTGAACTTTGTGTTAAATTGGCCAAATTACCAATTTCCGATCACTTTATTTTGTAGTTGAAACAGCTGACTTGGCGATTTCTTGTGCTCAGTCGATAGAATAGAAGTAATACTAGTGAAATAGCTAAGGATTTGGTTGACTTGAATATTGTAATTGGCCTAAAATGGGAGTCAAAGTCGGCAAAATCGCTGATTCCTACATATCGCTGACACATCAAAATTTGCGAGAGCATAATTTCGTCAATTTTCCATCAAATTTCGTACTTTTTTTTTTATTACCTTGACAAAAAGATTCTCTACCATTTCATAAGAAAAAATAATTTTTTTTTTTTTTAAATTCTTGGACACTGGGGCACCACTTCAGATTTTGGCCTTGGACCCTGAAGGGTTAAAGTATTTGTAATCTTAATGTAGGGCGAGAGGTGAGTAGTACTTATTTGTAGGAAGTCAGGTGTAGGTAGCCCTGGCTCCCCATCTCATACTTAATATACGATATTGAAAACAGCCCAGGGAGTTAAAATACACATACAGTACACTCATCATTTACCTTAAAATATGTGTAGTCTTAATGTAGGAAGAGAGGTGAGTAGTAATTACTTGTAGGAAGTCAGTGTAGGTAGCCAGTAGGTGTAGCTCGCCTGGGCTACACCTACTGGCTACCTACACTGTGGCTCAGAGCCATATTATTAGCATCAACATACCTTGTTCACTGAATTTAATCGTTTCTAACAACTACCTTTAGATGCCATCATAAACGAAGGGAGAAGTAATGAATAATTCATGCCAAAAATTGCAAACAAAAGCGGAGTGGGGGAGTGGCTGGGCCAAACGCAGATTCATACATGTTTTCTCTGGTGGCTGAGCAGAGAAAACAATGCTGTCCCTCCGCTCGGCTGCCACACAAGTCCACAAGTATTATTATCAGAGCACATATAAAATATGCAATAAATGCCAGACAACAAGTTTACACTAACTTATATTAAGTTAACAACAGAAATAGGCATTAAAAACACAATAAAAGGTAAGATACACACAGAGTACACTTATTACTTACCTTAAAATATTAATATTAATGTGTGAGAGGTGAGTGGCAGGGTGTTTATTGAATAAAATCAGAAAGGCACACCATTATCCTCTAACTTGGCACTTAAAGCAAGAGGCTTACGACTCCTCTTTTTATTACAGCTAAGCTTAGACGCCATCGTCAATGAGAGCCAACTAGTTAATGAAAGAGTAAACGAGAGAGAGAATGAGATACAGAGTTGAGACAATGTAAGAACACAAACTGGACAGGTAGTGGGCGATCACTTGGTCAGGCGAAATAAATGCGTATTAATATGTGTCTACTTTTAGTTCATTCACGTACGTTTGTAAGAGTTTGTAAAACATTTACTTCAATATTTTTTTTATTATAATAATAATTACCTCACAATACAAATACTCTTACATTGTGTACAAGTTGTACACATTAGTACAGAATAAACAAACGGCAACACACCATTTTTAGAGTGAATGAAGATATTATTATTATTATTATTGTCATAATAAAAAGCACTAAACGCACGAGGGTCGTGAATTGCTATATATAGAGTGAAGGCATACGAAAAGAATATTTTTCTACAGTTATCCCCCAGTTTGACTAGAGAAAACGTAATTCTTCCAACACTACCTACACAGCCGCTTTGTAAACAAATCTCATATTTATGTCAATTTTTATTCTGTGAGTGTATGTATCATGTTTATATGCTATGTAATGTGTTTCTTATATAATTTTGAGGAAAATATCATAGATGGATTAATGAAAATGCCTATACAATGTATTAATGTAAAATAAGACATTTAATGTGCCCAAGAGTGATTATTATTACGTAGTATTGGCGTCATGAGTAGAGAGACTCGGCGATTTTAATGTGTACCTGCACACCAGCACAGTGTGTAAGTATATTTAGGTACAGGTACACATAAGTATAATTATCAGAGTACATACATATAAAATACACAGTAACTTTAAAGCACTTGAAATTTTGGAAAGTTTCCTGACATAATAGATGTGGTCACCGAGAATATAAACAAACTGGGTGGGGCATGCCGTATTTGAAAGACCGCTTGCCGTATAGCAAATTTTGGTCATAATTTGACATCCCGTATTAGCGGAACGCCGTAAAGTGGGGCACTACTGTATCTGTTACTAAGGGCTTTGGTACATATTGCTTAAATCTTAAGCCCAAAAACTACTGAGTATACAAGGCCCTGGGGTTGTCATGGACCTTAAAACTTGACAACAATAACACCATCAGAAAAAAAAAAAATGTTGATTTTGGCATTATTTGTAGTTCATTGATCTAAAGAGATCTGTGAAATTATAATCCTCTGTGAATTTAGATGGCTGACTGTATGCAGATATACTGCAGCAATTTATGCACTTTACTATTATGCATATTTTTCACTTGTGATTATAGAAGTTCTAATAATAAAAAATTGACCAAACTAGATGCTTCCTTAGAATTCTTTTCTTCACGATTTGCTTCCATTTCCACAGGCGGACAAATTCTCTTGTCAAAACTGCAGCGGTATCAGCCTCGAATTGCTGTCTTTAATGGTAAAGGAATTTACGAAATTTTTTCTGGGAAAAAAGAATTCACGTTTGGGAGACAACCAGAGAAGATTGAAGGAACTCGCACAGTAAGTATAAGTTCAGAGTCTGCTGCTTTTAAAGCTATTCTGAAGAAAACAAGCTTTTGTATAGTGCGACGCTGTATGACCCTTGTGGGTTTAGTACTTAGTTTTGACTGTAATAATATACAGTGCCAACAGGAAAGATTTTACTAAAACTGAAGATGCGCACTCATTAATGTACAGTATTTGAGGTTAGAGGCCATTTTATTGTGACCTGTTTCTTGAGTTTGCCTACCCCTGGCCTGGGGCCAGTCATGCAGCAAACGGTAGTGACAGTCTGGATGCTTAAGAGTGTGCCATTTTCACTTATTTTATTGCTGTAGTGGTCATGATTATGTGTGATAAAAGTGGTAGACACCTGCAGTAAACCAAGTACAGTAGACACTCCTATAATTGGATATGCAAAATGATTAGTAGGACCCCAACTTAAGAGATCTGTTAAAAAAAGGCACAATACCATAACTGGAACAATACACAAATAACCATCTGTGTAAGAGATTGGTTCCTGATGTTTTCAGTTACAAATTAGTGGTCTGTAGCCCTGAAACTATTATTCTCTTGAAAATTACAGAAAAGAGGATGGTTATTTGTCATTCATGTTTGTAACTGCAAATTGACATTCTTAAAACAATTATTTTTGCAATATAATGTTTTTGAACCGAGTTTATTAGTTCAATCACCCTAAGTTGGAGCTTTGTAAGCTGAGACCCCACTGTCTAAACTCCCTTATGCTGAAAAAGTGTTTCCTGAGTATTCTGCATGTATATCTATGTGAAGTATAATATGACAGTCTCTTAGCTAAGTCCAAACAACATACAGTAGAGCTCTTCAGTATTTATTGTACTCTATTTATTATGTCATAGATATGGGACTATTGAAAATACATAAATAGTAACAAAACTAATCTGGGGAAATATTTTGGTGCTGTTCTGGTTACAAATTTGGGAAGTGACAATTGTAATGCATTGAGAGGAGAGACTGAATTATTGATTGTAATTATTGATTATGTAAAGCTTAAATTTTGCATTTGTAAGTCTTAAGTACTCACTTTTGTTTTCTTTTCAGCACGTATGGGTGATGCCATCATCGTCTGCACGCTGTGCACAGCTTCCAAGGGCACTCGATAAAGTCCCTTTTTATACAGCTCTTCGGAAATTCCGTGATTTCCTGAAAGGTACACTGGATGAACTAAACGAGGAGGAAATCACATTTATTAATGCAAAAGTAAAGAATTTAAAAATGGACCCTAGTGAGAAGGTAGAACTTGGGTGTGAAGGCCAGCCGGGAGAACTATGCCGGCCGCCTGATCCCATGGGTTCCCCTGTGCATGATGACGATAGGCTAATTATCAAGGAAGAAGTTGACATACCCACAAAGCTTGATATGGATGTGGAAGAAGATGAAATTAGCAAAGAAATGCCACAAACACTTTTTAACCTCAATGGGATGACCAGAGAACAGCTTGACTGTATGGATTGTCCTACCATACCAATCAGGAAGAAGCGTGGCAGACCGAAGAAAACTCCAGACGATCCTAATGCCCCGCCCCGTCCTCGGCCTCGGCCTCAAAATACCGACCCATTGATGTTTAATGGTGAACAACCAATAAAGAAAAAAAGAGGGAGACCAAAGAAAGTTCTGGAAGATGGCACCATTCCTCCCCCTAAGCGACCGGGAAGGAAACCTAAAGCTCTAAAAGAAATGTTAGCACAACAGCACCATCAACACCTTCACCATCCACAGCATCTAAGTCAACATCCTCAGTTAGGTCAACAGCAGTTAGGTCAACAGCAACCACCACCACCTGTGGGCATGGCACATATGAATGGAATGATGTCCCCAACAGGGTTTAGCCCAAACCCAGGTGCTCAGACATTCTCTCCACAGTATGGTAGCCATACCCCTGTTCACGGAGGTGGCAGTCTCACCCCAAATCACATCGCTGGCAGCCAGACTCCTGGCCACAATCAGACCCCTGTCCACACTCAACCTCCCAGCCACAGTCAGACCCCCAGCCTCAATCCAGCAATGGTTCCAAGAGGACCAACACCACAACAGTTTGGTCAGTCTCCAGGGTATTCCCCAGGTCCAACAGTCAACCCAGTCAATCCTCAGCACCAGCAAAGAACTACGACATCTTATGGCCAACAACAAACTGAGGCACCAACAGATTTAAAAGTTGATGAAGAACATCACTTAGGTCTTTCTTCTCCTCCTGCATCACCGCTCATGACCCAACCAGATTTTGAACCTCCTAGCAGCATGCCTGAGGGAGACATGTCCATTGGTGCTTCAGACACACAGAGCTCAGCAGCTCTCACTCCAAGTCATCAAGAAGATGGTAAGGCGTCTGTACCATTAGCTACAAGGGACCAGCCCCAGCTTACCCCTACTATGCCTGGCCAGTTCTCAAACCCCACAACCCCAGTAGATGGCAGCTCATACCAGAATTACCCTTCGTATCCTTCAAATGCTTCACACTCGCCATCAATGGTGAAGCCATCTGCTGTACACCCAGGACAGTCACCAACGATTGTGAGCAAGGGGGATGTAGCATCGAAGAGCTTGTCTGGTCTAGAGTCATTAGTGGACCAGATACCTAGCCTCAATGAACATGAGACAAGCAGCCAACATTCTGCTCACTCAAATTCTGCCCCTTGTTCCAATCCAACGACCCCCGGCCCCCCTGCGGGATCAGCCCCCTTTAGCCCTGGTAACGTTCCGCCCACCTCCACGTACCAGAGCTACCCAGGCGGGGGCAGCTCAGGAGCCTCGGCATACCCCACCTCCCACTATGGCTCCCCACAGTCTTCACACCCATACTCCCCTCACTACAGCTCCAACAGTACAAACCTCAGTACAAATTTCAGTGTGAGCTCACTGGCAAATAGCAGCATTAGTACCACTATGTCATATAGTAGTGCTTATGACCTGGGGTCACCACAAGCGTCGACAAGCTCATTTAGTGTGTCATCGTTGACGAGCAGTGCCCCTGCCCCATCCCCCTCCATGTACAGCCAGTCCTACTCCCCTGCTCCTCCAACTGCCCCTGGGCCACCTCCACACTCCTCGTATCCAGATATTATGAGCCCCTCCATGTTGGCTCCAACCCCTTCCATGGGCTCATCATTTATGGGATCTCCCAGTCTGATGAGTTCACCCACACCCATGAGCTCAAGTATGGGTGGATCCTCCATGGGTCCCATGGGTGCTCTTCACTCCTCCATGGGCATGACAGGGTCACAGCTACCCTACCCATATTCACAATATAGTGATGCTGCCCCTGGATACCCCCCTCCAGGGCACTCAACTTTTCCCTACCCACCAACAGCTCCTGGGTTTCATGTTCCCTCTCCACGCTTTCCCTACCCATCCCCCTATTCTAACTCCCCCTATACTCAAGGTTACTCTCAGAATGCCGTGCTGGAGCGCATCAAGCAAACCAGTATGGGTATGGGCTTTGGGGGATTTTAAGGTGCAAGGATAGTAATGATAGAAGTACTCTGGTGTAGTGTACTAGCCATGTAAAGGAAATAGGACTCACTGTTTCCCATGCTCACTGTATTGTCTCAGTGTCAGTTCCTTGTTTTAGCTTTTTTATATATTTGTTACCCTAGAGCACCTGGTAAGCTCCACTTCCATCTCCTTGCTGTCAAGAGTGAAGGAGGTTGTGGCACTTGAGTGATTAATTGTATGTAAACTGTTCTCTGTGTGTGGAGAAGGGAGTGTTTGCCATATATGACAGGGTAATAATAATTGCTAAGCATTGTGATGCGCTAGAGCAGCACTCCTCCCCTCAGTGAACAGCGTCAAGTGTTGCATCACCATTCCTGCGTTGTGTACCAATTACTGGCCAGTGATCTCATGAGCCGTGTAACAGGCTGACTGACCCATCTGCCCTGTGGCAGATTCCCCACAGCTCACAAACGCTAGGAACAGCCTCTCTGGGTAGTCTCGTTGACTATCCTGAAGCATAGTCCCACTGTAGCAGTAAACCAGGGGACAAAAAAAAAAAAAAGTCCTTTCTATCAGTGAAACTGGGGACTAAGTCCTTCTCAAAAGTGATTTAAGGGGCTAAAAAGTCCTACATTACAGTGAACCATAAAGCTGGAAGGTCCTGCCAGAAGTGAACTGAGCTTACCCCATGTGCATCAATCGTTACAGACAGTGTGTCAGAGACAGAAACTTGTGATGTGGACAAGTGTGTATGTGTGGAAGTGAAAAAAAAAAAAAGGAGTCCCAATTGGCTTCCACAAGGTGATGAAACATAAGTTGTTTTGGTACCCAGTCCAGGAGGATTGTGAACAAGTATGTGTTGAGACAGTTCCTTCCAACAGATAATGTAAAGTAGTATTAAGAAGCCAGACCCTTTTATATGGACAGCACAATACTCTTTTGGTGCAATATAGTCATCAATCATTCATGCGCACAGTGTTGACAGATGTTTTTGAAATGATATTAACACACTTGTTTATATCTACCACCCATATTTGCAGTTGAATGATTTGTAGTGAAACCTCCCCCAGAACAAAATTGTCACAGACTATTTGATACAGTTTGTTAAGCCATGAATTTCTCAAGGGTACTATCTACTTCACAGTAGACACATTTTTGAGATATATTGAGGAGATGCACTTATGCTGGTTAACTCATTTTCACCTGCAGTATGTAAACTGGTCAATCATTAGTTATTTTTTTATGTTTTCATACAAATTTTCTTGCACTGCCTGAATACTGTATATAGAAACAGCTTATGTTGCTATATACTCATTAAGGCTGTAAGGAGGTAATTACCTGAGGTTATATGTTGGTAGTATTTTTACTGCGTGTAGACCCACAAGTACATCGCCTTAATATAACTCTTAAGAATCTCATTATTCTAGTTTCATGGACTTCTGATTGCTCAGATATATAATATTGACTGTGTTGGGTTAATTTAATAATGACAAATAATTCTTGACATAATTATCAATGCCATGGCTTTGCATCTGGCGTCTGTATCCAACTATTGATTGATACGTAACTCTTGTATCCAAGTGTTTGAAACCTGGTGTCTGCCCACAAGCAGTAGACAGTCAGGGTTGTGGTGTTGAACTGTGTTAAGAACCATCAAATTACAGTAGATAATTGGCTAATAATTTCCCCACCATGTACAACTCCAGTTAAGGCTACAATTTACTTATATAAATTCATGTGTGGTACAAATAATATATATAATGTTGAATATTTTGGGAATAATTGTAAAAAATCAGTTTATATATACTGTATATGGTAATGTAAGTAAAATTTTACAAAATAAAAGATATATGTCAGCACAGTCTAGAAGCTGGGTAGTGGTCTGTGTTATGATCGTGGGGGGACGCACACCTTAGTCAGGTACAGGGCAGGTTGTACAGTATAGTTTCCTATGGCTCTGTAAGTTTCCTCGGCCACATTTAACAGTCTTTATCTGGTACAATGACACTTTCAGCAGGGAAATGAATGGTTGTATTCTGAATGCTAAGACTGTGTGTGTGTGTGGGGAGGGATGGCATGTCAGTCTTATGTATGGGTGGGTTATTGTTGTGGGCCTTTTTAGAGGGTTGGAATGGTTGTATTAATGTTGGTTGTATGTATGATCTTTGTTATCTACAAGAATATATATTGTTAGATGTTTAATTGGTTGATAAACCAGTTGTAAATCTGTATTACCTGTCATTTTGGGGGAACAGAGGCAAAGACTCAAATAATTTATATGTAATTAATAGTTTTGCCAAGTAAATTTATCGAATAAAAGGATAATGAGATCCTTTTAACCCAGATACTTTTTCCAGGGGTAAATTTTTTATGCATTTTTGCTTTGTTAATGTGTATGTTGTTAAGGGGATATATTTGTTTTTATTACTGAAGTTTCTCTGTAGCAGTTCACAGATTGTGCTGACATTATTCCACGAAAGCTCAGGCTGGAAAGTTAAAAAAAATAACCTACTGGTGCAGTTCAGGCAGCTAAAAATACACTAAAGAAGTTTCCCAGACTGCTAACTGGACATACGGGTGGAGGCGTGAGTCTCGTGCGAGCTCTCCGACGTGGTCACTGGCAGCTTGGCAATCAACACGGCTTCAGTTTTCCCATGACCCTGACAAACATATCAGACCACCTGCTTGATGGCAAACATAATTACTGTTTTTAGGAGAAATTAAAATCAAAACGATTGTAATCTATGCAAGTTATAATGTTTTGGCATAAATGTTTTCGCCTCAATAATGTGTAAAAGTCAATAGCTCATCCACACTTCAGATCATGATGACCGTGAATACATTTTCAGCTGTGGCTCTTTTTTTTTCGACTTACTAAGCAATAAGACGAGAGGATCAGTAGTAGTGTGCATACTTTAGTGTCGACAACCCCTGTAGGTGTGGTTGGTGTGTAGGGTTGGTGGTGGGAAGTGCCATCCTTGGCAACATCACCACCCCCCGTCTTTCTCCCTCGGCTACCAGGTACCATATCTGCAACTTTACCACCACCACAGGTGTTGCTTTTGAATGGTGGTTATTGTGTGCACAGGGTGCAACTGGTGCACATGTGTGATTGTGTATATTATGAGTGTACTATAGGTGTGCCATGGGTGTGGTGGTGTAGTATAGGGTGTTTACCAGGATACCGTGGGAAGGGTCCGGTGTGCCGCATGATCTCATTGTTAATGTGTTGTCCCCCCTGTGGCTCCAGGCCCCCCCTTCCCCCTCCCAGTCTTTCCTGTGGTGCCTGTGGTGGTGGTGGTAGTAGTAGCAGTGGTGTTGGTGAGCTAGTGTCAGTAGTGGTGATGGTGGTGGTGGCAGTGTTATAGCACCACCATCAACATTCGTGGATAGTTCACCTCCCTCTCCTCTCAGCTGGCGGTCTCACCCAACCTCTCCCAGTACCTAACGTGTCTTGTTCCAGTCTTTTCTATATTAGAAATGTTCTTATGTTATCATTAATGTGCTTTATTTATTCTCACTTTTATTTTTTGTTGATACACTTAGATAGTGTAGCTATGTTTTTCACCCTCGGCTAGGGCCGAGGGTGCAAGCGCTGTCACTGGTGACGTGTGTGGCACCGTATTCCATCCATGACTAGTTTACCTCACGTTCCTCTCCGTATTTATAGCTTATATTTTGAGAGCATTTTGTGTGTATATAGCTTTTCTCCTTCACATTTTAATGCAACTTCCTCATACAGAGGTGGTGTGAATCTCACACCCTGATCCCTCAACCTCCCCATTTCCTCTCCCTAAACAGCTTCCCATGACCATAGGCTCGTGGCCAGCTTCTTCACACTTTGCTATCTTTTTTTTTTGTATAAAGTGACAACAGTAGGTTTAGGCTTTCCCCTAGGTGGTGCTCTGAGCTACCCAGGACTTACCGAGAGTTTTGTACCAGCCTGTGTTTGACGTCAGTGCAGTCTTCAGTTTGTGTATGATGAGAAAAATGAGGATAGTCGTGTGTTGCTCTGAAGGTAGGCAGGTATCCATGTGGGTAGAGTACATAAATAAGTTTTGTAATTTATACCAGATGTTTCATATATTTTTAAAATATTTATTGCCGTTACTGCACTTTTTCCGTTATGGGCACGGAAGGTCTCTCTGCTTCTCGCTGTTGAGCTTTAATGAATCCATTGTTGCAGCCATGATTGGTGTGGGCAAGTGGCCAGCTGAGGTGCCTTGCCCACACCCACATCCCCATGCCCACACATGACCCACTCTGTCACAAGTAGGTTGCCATGTCTGCCGCCTGCCTGCCTGCCAGCAGTATGGCAACCTCATGCCCTGGGATGCTTCTACTCAACTCTTTTGGTATTGTTTTAAATACCAGGTGTGTCAATAATAAGCATTGTTATAGGTGTGGACATGGAGGTGGTGCTGGTGTGTGACTGGTTGTGTGGAGGATGACCTGCTGGCCTACCTGCAGGTCACTCATCCACACAGGTCACTGGTCGCCCCTCATTCATTGCTCTGGGCCGGCGCCCCTCCCCCCTGGGCAGCCATCACCCACTCCCCCCCCCTCTCGCAACTGATACCTGTGTTTTTATTTGAAGAGTCTGTACAGTTTTTGTGTAATGACTAGAAATATTACTGAGGATAATAAATAATATACATGTGTTGTGATTTCTCAAACAAAATAAATAGTGTGAATTGTGTTCCTAATTACCTCTTGTTATTTACCCTAATGTCCCTGACCATTCCTCACTGAGAGCAACAAACAGATTAGCATACCTCATTTTTCAAGTATTAAATCAGTGCTTAATGACCCATTTAGGTTGAGCGCTTTTCATGAATATAATAACAATTAATTTCTGTAAGCAACAGATATAAACAAGACAAATGTGGTCGGTGTTAGGGCATTTGTCAAGATGTTTTGCTGATCAGGGGCTTAATCATTCTAATACAAGACACCTAAAATTGATAAGAACATAAGAAAGGAGGAACACCACAGCAGGCCTACTTGCCCATACTAGGCAAGTCCTTCTCAAACCCAAACCCACTAACAAAAATATTTGCCTAACTATGGGTCAAAGCCAGGGGGCTGAAGTTGGGAATGAGGCTAAATGATGGCTATGTCTGGTAGAAAAAAAACTAGGAGGAGACATGGCCACAGCATACTCAGAAGTTCTGACAAAATGGCTCAGGAGAAATTGTTATGGGTGGCAGAGGCACCAGGTTGAAGAGCCAAAAATGGAGACTAAACATCCAGAGATACAAGAAAAAGCTTCAAGATGAAGCAATGAATAAAACACAGGAAGGAAGCAGTGAAGGAAAAATCATACATTAATTTAAATATAAATATGTTTAACCATTAGGTCTGGGATGCAGGACACTGATAAAATAATTATGAATACAACAGAGGACTGCAGTAGGCCTGTTAGCCCATGCTAGGCAAGTCAAACTCACACCCACCTACATCGACTCATATACCTGTCCAAACTATATTTAAAACTACCCAAAGTTCTTGCTTCAATGACATACAGAGGTTTGCTCCATTAATCTACACCATTACTGCAAAAATAGAATTTCTTTATATTCTTGCTAAATGTAAGTTTGTCCAATTTGAATCCATTGCTGTGAGTCCTATCTTCGTTAGATATTTTCAGCATGTTATTTATATCCCCTTTATACATTACACTTACGTTTGTACACCTCAGTCATTACCCCCGCTGCTTCCATTCTGCATTTTCCCCAAGAGTGCAAATTCAGTGCCTTCAACCTTTCTTTGAAGGAAAGGTTTCCGATATTTGAGAGCAACTTTGTCATTCTTCTCTGTATGGTTTCCAGTGCATTTGTGTCCATTCCTTGTATGACCCTTGTGGGTTTAGTGCTTAGTTTTGATATGAAGCTGAGAATTCTATTAGTTTTATTACAAACATTTACGCACTGTTGTCGTGGTTTTAGATTTGTGCTGAACAGAACACCTAAGTCATTTTTGCATATATTGTAACTAAGATCTTTATTTAGTTTACAAGTGCCAAACATGACCCAAGAGTTAGAGCTTGGTTATTGCAAACAGAGCATGCACACATATTTGCTCTCTTTCTCTAGAATATTGTACAAAACATGACCACATGATAAAAATAAAATACCCTGAAGACAAACTTTGTAGAGATTATTAATTAAACTTTGGTAAAGTTAAAACCCTCTGGTGGACAAGTAACACTATAGTGTTACCTTTTCTTAGGCCTAATTAAAGCCTTTCCAGAATACATAAAATTGTTGACACTGTTGTGATCCAATCAAAAAATCCTAGCTCCTAAGTGAAGTGAGAAGTTGAGATGGCCCGTGGCCTGGTGGCTAAAGCTCTTGTTTCACACGCTGGGGTCCAGGTTTGATTCCCACCGAGGGTAGAAACATTGGGCGTGTTTTCTTACACCGAACATCTATGTTATCCCATCAGTAAAATAGGTACCTGGGTGTTAGTCGACTGGTGTAGGTTATATCTTGGAACAAAACTGACCTAATTTGCCTGAAATGCTCTGCATAACAAGGGGCTTTCTATATAGTAGTATGTCATTGATGTCAGCTAGACATGTATACCATGTACATGTACTTGTAGAAATAATTATTATTATCATTATTATTATTATTATGTGAAGCAGTGTCATCAGACTTAGGAGAATGAGCTGCAATTGCTCATTAAGGAATGATGACTGTTAAGACTTACTTTCTAACAGTCATCAAAAAATCTATGAAGGTTATGGCAAGTCATAAAGAGTAAAAAGGTCTTAGAATGTGCTCATCTATAACATATTAGGAGCACATATATACTCCCCCCCTTCCATTACTTAGTTACTTGCCCAACAGAGGGCATAATGAACATCCATCGATATTCACATTACGCAGTTCATTGTGAAATGCATAAAAACAAGGTAAGAATAACCAATGTTAACTATGTCTACACCAAAAACATTTGACATTTGCTATGAAGATGCTGCATTCCAACGTACATTACGAGACTATCTGTGAGTTTGTTCCACTCGTCTACAACTCTATTGCCAAACCAAATTTAGATCTAGTAAGGATGTACTTTAGCACTTCCTTACTAGGTCTAAATTTGTCCTTCAGGGGAGGCAATGATTTTGACTGGCAGCTTAAAAATACAGCAGCTTAGCTTGCTTAGATAAACTTTACAAGGTGAAAAATGTATAACAACATCCCAAATTAATGTCTTCCATATGAACATATAAAAAAAAAGATTAACATGCATCAATGATATTGGTTCAAAATGAAGTTAAACAACAGGAAAAAATCTCTTCAACAAATGAATAATAATGAGAATGCAAGCTCACGTAGGCCCAGATACAGGTACTTTGTTACCAGGTGAGAAACAGTAAAGTGATCCATATATACAGTTACCAGGTGAGAAATAGTAAAGAATTAATACCTATAGTTACTAGGTGAGAAATAGTAAAGAATTCATACCTATAGTTACCAGGTGAGATAACAAAAAGATTAGGTGATGAAAGACTGGATATCAGATTGGAGGGAGAGAGTATGGAGGAGGTGAATGTATTCAGATATTTGGGAGTGGACGTGTCAGCGGATGGGTTTATGAAAGTTGAGGTGAATCATAGAATTGATGAGGGGAAAAGGGTGAGCAGTGCACTTAGGAGTCTGTGGAGACAAAGAACATTGTCCTTGGAAGCAAAGAGGGGAATGTATGAGAGTAAAGTTTTACCAACGCTCTTATATGGGTGTGAAGCATGGGTGATGAATATTGCAGCGAGGAGAAGGCTGGAGGCAGTGGAGATGTCATGTCTGAGGGCAATGTGTGGTGTAAATATAATGCAGAGAATTCGTAGTTTGGAAGTTAGGAGGAGGTGCGGGATTACCAAAACTGTTGTCCAGAGGGCTGAGGAAGGGTTGTTGAGATGGTTCGGACATGTAGAGAAAATGGAGCGAAACAGAGTGACTTCAAGAGTGTATCAGTCTGTAGTGGAAGGAAGGTGGGGTAGGGGTCGGCCTAGGAAAGGTTGGAGGGAGGGGGTAAAGGAGGTTTTGTGTGCGAGGGGCTTGGACTTCCAGCAGGCATGTGTGAGCGTGTTTGATAGGAGTGAATGGAGACAAATGGTTTTTAATACTTGACGTGCTGTTGGAGTGTGAGCAAAGTAACATTTATGAAGGGATTCAGGGAAACTGGAAGGCCGGACTTGAGTCCTGGAGATGGGAAGTACAGTGCCTGCACTCTGGAGTAGGGGTGTTAATGTTGCAGTTTAAACTGTAGTGTAAAGCACCCTTCTGGCAAGACAGTGATGGAGTGAATAATGGTGAAAGTTTTTCTTTTTCGGGCCACCCTGCCTTGGTGGGAATCGGCCAGTGTGTTAATAAATAAATATAAATAGTTACCAGGTGAGAAATAGTAAGGCAATACATACCTACAGTTACCAGGCGAGAACGAGTACGCGTCACTTTATGTACTATTTCTCACCTGGTAACTGTTGGTATGGGTAACTTTATCTCTTCTTTCTCGTCTTTGACGATAAAAGTAAGAGTGAGGAAGTTGTCCACCGCTAGTGCGGAATTTCTATGGGATGGTTTATGTCTTTTGGGTTTGAGAAAAGAAACTAAATGAAAGAAAAATGGAGAGTTCAGGTTATCAGGAGGACATGTGAGGGTAGGGACGGTAGAACATATGTGGCGTTAATCAGTTAAGATATAAGATTTTGTTTGAATTTTTAATCCCGGAAGGTTAGCTACCCAGGATAACCCAAGAAAGGGAGGGACTGTCTTGTCTTGTTTCCATTGGGGTCCTCAATCTTGTCCCCCAGGATGCGACCCACACTAGTCGACTAACACCCAGGTACCTACTTACTGCTAGGTGAACGGGACAGCAGGTGTAAGGAAACACGGCCAATGTTTCCACCTCTGGCGGGGATCGAACCATGGACACTGTACTCACCTAACTGTGGTTGCAGGGATCGAGACTCAGCTCTTGGCCCCGCCTCTTCACTGTGTGTGAAGTTAGTGTTGCCTGAGTCAGGCTGGTTCAGGTGCAACCCATGTCCTACTGCTCAGCCTGTGAACGGTAGCGCAAAAAAAAAAAAAAGGATTACAGAGGTCACTGTGTGTTAGACCCCATCGAGCATTGTTACATCATTGGTCATAACTGGGTTGTTATCTATAAATACCGTCTGTTAATCCAGTCGACCCAAAATGTGGATACAACTTCAAGTTTTCAGATATCATTAACAATGAGAAGTTTTGGTATATCCTGTAAGGCTTGCATGGAGATATATCTGATAGGATCTACTGACCTTTTTCAACTTTCTCCATAGATATGTTTACCTTGACACATTTCATTATGATGGATAATGGATCACTGACTTTATTGGGTTATCTTGGGTGGCTAACCCTCCGTGTTAAAAGTATAAATCTTATCTTCTGACTAAGAGATAAATAAATATGAACTCTTCCTTAAATTGAAGGCATTGTTAACTTTCATAATTGCTAGACACAGTGAGTGGAGGGGGATGGGGCTGACAGGACTCCTTGGCGGGTCGAATAAGTACATGGACCACGTTTTGCCCTTTCCTAATCTAGGTGAAATGAGCAGCAGCTTGAAGAGATGCCCATCATATGAATCACTTAATCCAGGAGTCGAACCCAGGGCCCCGTGGCCTGGCTGGCATAGTTCTTGTTTCACATGCAGAGTGTCCGGGTTCGATTCCTGGCGGGGTGAAAACATTCGATGCATTTCCTTAAACCTGTTGTCCTGTTCACCTAGCAAGTAGGTACCTGGGTGTTAGTCGAATGGTGTGGGTCGCATCCTGGGGGACAAGATTGAGGACCTCAGTGGATATAAAACAGTCCCTTGCTGACGCACTGCCTTTCTAATTTATCCTGGGGGGGGGGGCCTATCCCTCCGGGGTTAATTAAAAATCCTGACCAAATCTTATCTTGTGCTGTGATTTACAGTGGTCAGTGATGAGTACCTTGTTCTTGACAATTTTATATTAACGACAAAAATGACTTAATAAACAGAAAAGAAAAAAAAACAGGCTGTAAAATAAATTCTGAGGAGGCTACCACTGACAATAAATCACATTGTTTGACTTTATGCGAGGTTAAATCTGCATCATAATACCTGTGCACCCTCACAACAACATTATGAATTATTATGTGAAAAATTACCTGCATGAGGTATACAGGGCATTACCTGAATTATTATGTGCAAGTAATCTGGGCGAGGTAAGTGGGACTTATTCACAGTAGGTCGCAGAACTGTCACTCCCTCGATGCCCACTCCATCACTACTCTCACAAAAAGCTAGACCTGACATTAAATTAATAATTACAATATTAAAACCAGCTACTCTGGTAAATTAAAATTGTGTGGACTGTATATTTTAGTTTACTTGCTGGGTACACAAAATATAATTATTAGTACAATACATAGAATACAATAGCATTATTAGAAAAGAAATTCGTATTACCACTTACCATTTAATTACTGGATCACAGTTTTTATTTGCAACACACCCTAACCTTACCCTAATAGAGTTTATGATGACCAATGCAAAACTACTGTGCATTATGGGTAAGCGTCACTTAGCTAAGATGTGTTGCCGGGAAGCATTGGAGTCTCCTATTTTTTTTCGTCCTTTTAGCCGAATTGAGAGGGTTTTCCACACTATCCCAATTCTTCAGCAGGAATGTGTCAGCAGTTTCTAAATTACGGACTGATTGAACAGTATTCACCCATTCAGTTTCATTATGGTGTCCTCCCCCGTCCGAGTAGCGGCTATTCCACATATTCCCCTCACTCTCGAAGGGTCAAATCAGCATCACATTTTAATACACAATTATTACATTGTTCAAATTTACATATGTTGATTTTAGGAAAATTCAAAAATTTCCACAACCATAATAAAAAAATGGAAGCATATTATTTAAGATCAAAATAAAAACTTTCTTAATCTTGGGGACAGTTTGCGTGTATTATGTTGTGGTCAAGAAAGTGACGGATGTAGTTGACATCTGTCACTTTCAGGACAGAAGGTCTGATTAAGGACTTTTGGCACAAGATACTCAAGATACTGGGACAGCCCTCCCCTTCCTCAGATCAAACCAGATGATATACCCCCGATCCCTTACATTTCCCAGGAGCTGAAAGAATCTTAGTAAGTAAATAAGTAAGTATATTTAGGTACAGGTACTCATAAGTACAATTATCATAGTAACGTGTGTAAATTACCCAGGACAGCTCCGAGAAAGTCAGACAAAGTTAATTATTTCCATTGAGGTCCTTACAGATTAGCGTTCAAGTTTTTACCTCCAAGTGTATAACAATACCATCATCTTAAACCCGCAGTGAGAACAAATCTTAGCAACAGAGGTGTTCGCAAGTGTGCTGGTATCAGACTGCTCGGTTTTATCTCAAGACATATGTAAATAGACAGATTTTCCCAGGTTATAACAGAGCAACTCTATAACATCGTTGGCAAGGCCTCATTTAAAATACGAAGCCAGGTTCTAGCCTATTACAAAACGAATAAACTGAGCTTTAAAAAAAATTATTATTGTGAGGCTGTCCTGACCTGAATAACATTTTATTTCTAAATATTAAGTCAACAGGATGGCAGATGTTTATTCCCAGAGTAATAAATATTTCATAGGAAGGCAGTGAGAGCACTCAACCTGGTGGTCCTGAAGGCAGTGAGAGCACTCAACCTGGTGGTCCTGAAGGCAGTGAGAGCACTCAACCTGGTGGTCCTGAAGGCAGTGAGAGCACTCAACCTGGTGGTCCTGAAGGCAGTGAGAGCACTCAACCTGGTGGTCCTGAAGGCAGTGAGAGCACTCAACCTGGTGGTCCTGAAGGCAGTGAGAGCACTCAACCTGGTGGTCCTGAAGGCAGTGAGAGCACTTAACCTGGTGGTCCTGAAGACAGTGAAAGCACTCAACCTGGTGGTCCTGAAGGCAGTGAGAGCACTCAACCTGGTGGTCCTGAAGAAAGGGAGAGGATTCAACCTGGTGGTCCTGAAGACAGTGAGAGCACTCAACCTATGGTCCTGAACACAGGGAGAGCACTCAACCTGGTGGTCCTGAAAACAGTGAGAGCACTCAACCTGGTGGATCTGAAGACAGTGAGAGGACTCAACCTGGTGGTCCTGAAGACAGTGAGAGCCCTCAACCTGGTGGTCCTGAAGACAGGGAGAGCAGTCAAACTGTGGTCCTGAAGGCAGTGAGAACACTCAACCTGGTGGTCCAGAAGACAGTGAGAACACTAAACCTGGTGGTTCTAAAGACAATGAGAGCACTCAATCTGGTGGTCCTGAAGACAGTGAGAGTACTAAACCTGGTGGTCCTGAAGGTAGTGAGAGGACACAACCTGGTGGTCCTGAAGACAGTGAGAGCACTCAACCTGTGGTCCTGAAGACAATGAGAGCACTCAACCTGTTGTCCTGAAGGCAGTGAGAGGACTCAACCTGTGGTCCTTAAGACAGTGAGAGCACTCAACCTGGTGGTCATGAAGACAATGAGAGGACTCAACCTGGTGGTCCTGAATGCAGTGAGAGCACTCAACCTGTGGTCCTGAAGACAGTGAGAGCACTCAACCTGGTGGCCCTGAAGACAGTGAGAGGACTCAGCCTGGTGGTCCTGAAGACAGTGAGAGGACTCAACCTGGTGGTCCTGAAGACAGGGAGAGCACTCAACCTGGTGATCCTGAAGACAGTGAGAGCACTCAACCTGGTGGTTCCGAAGAAAGTGAGAGCACTCAACCTGGTGATCAAGAAGACAGTGAGAGCACTCAACCTGGTGGTTCTGAAGACAGTGAGAGGACTCAACCTGGTGGTCCTGAAGTCAGTGAGAGGACTCAACCTGGTGGTCCTGAAGACAGTGAGAAGACTCAACCTGGTGGTCCTGAAGGCAGTGAGAGCACTCAACATGGTGGTCCTGAAGACAGTGAGAGCACTCAACCTGTGGTCTTTAAGACATTGAGAGTACTCAACCTGGTGGTCCTGAAGACAATGAGAGCACTCAGCCTGGTGGTCCTGAAGACAGTGAGAGCACTCAACCTGTGGTCTTTAAGACATTGAGAGTACTCAACCTGGTGGTCCTGAAGACAATGAGAGCACTCAGCCTGGTGGTCCTGAAGACAGTGATAGCACTCAACATGGTATTCCTGAAGACAGTGAGAGGACTCAACCTGGTGATCCTGAAGACAATGAGAGCACTCAACCTGGTGTTCATGAAGACAGTGAGAGGACTCAACCTGGTGGTCCTGAAGACAGTGAGAGCACTCAACCTGGAGGTCCTGAAGACAGTGAGAGGACTCAACCCGGAGGTCCTAAAGGCAGTGAGAGGACTCAACCTGGTGGTCCAGAAGACAGTGAGAGGACTCAACCTGGTGGTCCTGAAGACAGTGAGATGACTCAACCTGGTGGTCCTGAAGGCAGTGAAAGCACTCAATCTGGTGGTCCTGAAGGCTGTGAGAGCACTCAAACTGGTGGACCTGAAGAAAGGGAGAGCACTCAAACTGGTGGTCCTAAAGAGAGTGATTGCACTCAACCTGTGGTCCTGAAGACAGAGAGAGGACTCAGCCCGGTGGTACTGAAGGCAGTGAGAGCACTCAACCCGGTGGTCCAGAAGACAGTGAGAGGACTCAACCTGGTGGTCCTGAAGACAGTGAGATGACTCAACCTGGTGTTCCTGAAGGCTGTGAGAGCACTCATCCTGGTGGACCTGAAGAAAGTGAGAGCACTTATCCTCGTGGTCCTAAAGACAGTGATTGCACTCAACCTCTGGTCCTGAAGACAGGGAGAGCATTCAACCTGGTAGTCCTGAAGACAGTGAGAACACTCAATCTGATGGATGTGAAGACAGTGAGAGCACTCAACCTGGTGGTCCTGTAGACAGTGAGAGCACTCAATCTGGTGGTTCTGAAGACAGTGAGAGGACTCAACCTGGGGGTCCTGAAGACAGTGAGAGGACTCAACCTGGGGGTCCTGAAGACAGTGAGATGACTCAACCTGGTAGTCCTGAAGGCAGTGAGAGCACTCAACCTGGTGGTCCTGAAGGCAGTGAGAGCACTCAACCTGGTGGGCCTAAAGAAAGGGAGAGCACTCAACCTGGTGGTTCTGAAGACAGTGAGAGCACTCAACCCATGGTCCTGAACACAGGGAGAGCACTCAACCTGGTGGTCCTGAAGACAGTGAGAGCACTCAACCTGGTGGATCTGAAGACAGTGAGAGGACTCAACCTGGTGGTCCTGAAGATAGAGAGAGCACTCAACCTGGTGGTCCTGAAGGCTGTGAGAGCACTCAACCTGGTGGTCCTGAAGAAAGTGAGAGCACTCAACCTGGTGGTCCTGAAGGCAGTGAGAGCACTCAACCTGGTGGGCCTAAAGAAAGGGAGAGCACTCAACCTGGTGGTTCTGAAGACAGTGAGAACACTCAACCTATGGTCCTGAACACAGGGAGAGCACTCAACCTGGTGGTCCTGAAGACAGTGAGAGCACTCAACCTGGTGGATCTGAAGACAGTGAGAGGACTCAACCTGGTGGTCCTGAAGACAGTGAAAGGACTCACTCTAGTGATCATGAAGACAGTGAGAGGAATCAACCTGGTGGTCCTGAAGATAGGGAGAGCACTCAACCTGGTGGTCCTGAGGGCTGTGAGAGCACTCAACCTGGTGGTCCTGAAGAAAGTGAGAGCACTCAACCTGGTGGTCCTGAAGAAAGTGAGAGCACTCAGCCTGGTGGTCCAAAAGACAGTGAGAGCACTAAACCTGGTGGTTCTAAAGACAGTGAGAGCACTCAACCT